TTCAAAAATGTGAGCCGGACATAGTCATAATCAGCAATTCGGATGCATGTATAAATACATATGTGTATGTGTATTCATTTAGAATATATCTCTATTCGGCTGATGTAACATTTCGCGGGAGGAATGGATATCCGTTAAAATTGATAATCATCATTTTGTCATCTTGAACTTTGAACTTTTCATTCGAAAGCATCGATTCATATCGTTTCACATCGTGTTACAAAAGTCACTATAAATTGCATTTAAATAAAAAAATCTATTATAATAAATTAGTAACTGAAATTAAATTATATTCCGTGTTAGATAAAAATAACTTTAGTAGTAAATTTAGTTTAGTTAGTTTTAAAAGTTCTCTTAAAGTGCAAACATTGTTATCTTGCTCCACAAGGTTAAAATCTAGAAGAGAGTTTATCTACAAAGAAGATTTTCTTTTAAAAGCTCTTCCTCCGCTCGTAAATTATATAATCCTTAGTGTACAAAAGCATTCTACCGATAAAACGTTGTTTATCGTATGTAAACTTGTAAAAAAGAACGCGATGTCTCTTTAGAAGAGACTACGAAAATAGCGTTATTTTTATAAATTGGTCAAACACTTGATATGAAAACTTGATATGAAAAATTTTGTATTTTGTTAGAAATTATTCATGTCAGAATCGTTAATAAATTACATCGACATGTCAATAATTTTAGTCCTATTTATTCTATACTATTAATTTGCTGATTCGTTCATATATGATTAATCATCCTACGTTTTAATGTGTTATAGTAATGAAGTATATCTGGTTCATTAAGAATTTTATTTTCTCTCGGAAATATAATCGGGATTGTAAGAAATATCAGTGATTTGAAAAAGAAAATAAAATTGAATAAAATTAAGTTGAAGTTAAAGATGCCAATTTATTATTATAAAGATCATAAATTAAAAAAGATTGATATCATCTTAGTTCATGCACGATAGCATTTATATAAAATCCTATCAAAATATTTATAAAAAAATATAACAACAATTATAATAACGATTGTAAACAACTAAAAATTAGTTGTCGCACATATTTAAAAAATAATTTATTGCATTTTTTTGACAAATATCTGTCTCCCGCGTTAAAGAGATGGGTATAATAATAATTTCTTTACCTAACTAAATAAGACAATATTACGACTCGTGTGTGTGTGTGTGTGTGTGTGTGTGTGTGCGTTTTATGAAACTAACGTAAAAACTTTTTAAAGCAAGCTAGGTATTTGTAATGTCAGCGTTAAGTCTCGACAGAATTATGTGTAAAAGACGTTGTAAATTAAAGTAATGTATATCGAACGTTTGAGGAAAAATACATTAAACATCAGCATTCCATAGTTTTCACAAAAACAACGTTATTGAAAATAATTGTGTTTTAATACAAAATAACAATTTTAGCATTCGTGAAGAAATGTAATTTGATTCCAGTAATAGCAAAATAATATATAAAATAATACATAATACATAAAATAATACATGATACATAAAATAATACATAAAACAATAACTTTTGTTTTTTTATTCATTTATCATCGTGACATTTGTGACATTTAAGCGATATTATAAAGAGAAAATTATAAATAAAAAGGATTACTGGTTCGATTTCCGGGAATGTCAAACGTCTTGGAGCATATACAGAATGTCGTCTTTCTATGCAACGAGTAGTAAGATGGCAGGTCGTTGTCGCCCAAGTGAGATAATAAGCACTTTGCCCTCTTCGATAAGAAACGCCTATAAAAAGGAATACGGCGTCCGTTCTACGCATCAGTCGTTTCGCCTACTCGACCAAGAAGAAGAAAATACTAGCGCGAGATGAAGTGCTTACCCGCGATTGTCCTAGCTATCATCTTGGTCGCGGCCGAAGGCAAGATTGTACCAGCCAGCGACGTCGAGAATCAGCAGACTAGCACGCAACCTGTTTCATTGTCCGACTACATCAAGGAGGCTCAAAATCGTATCAATGACTTCGGTATTCAGCTTCAACAACAATTCAATTTGCCTAATCAAGAAGACATCGTCAACACCCTCAGGGAGCATAGTGCCAACTTTACCAGCAGTGTCCAGGAGTACATCAAGACCGTAACCGATGAAGTGAGTGCGACTTATTGATATCGAATACAAACACATATGCATATTTTATTTATCTTCTTATATCTTGTACTAAATTGATGATTGATATTTTACTGCAATTACACTCCAGTTACAGACCAGCAAAACAAATGTTTGAGCAATCAAAGCGACTATTTTGTCTATCGACATCTCACTTTTACATTTTTTTCGTTTGGTACGTATCGCGGCTATTTTTCTCACTTGCACATCTTATATATGGAGATTAACAATTGATTCATTTGCTCGCAATATCGCGCAATATGGCGCGCTACCTTGTCTCATGTCACCTAGAGATTACGCATATGCGCATATTAGAAATAAAAGAAATTGCCGCATCGCTTTCCCGCTTTTAGTTTCCCAGGATTTCTAGAGGATTACTTGAGCTGTGAGTAAATTAGCAAGAGAATAATCAGAATGATCAGCTTATCATATTCAAAATCAATTCCAAGCAATCAAATAATCGATTCGAATAAGCATGTTAAATCAAACGATCTATCGATATTGAATGAAAGAAAATTTGTAATTTACAATGTAATTTATACGCAAGAATTTAAAATATCATTAATGTCCGAGATGGAGGACGTCTCAATACATTACGTTACATAGTAAGAAATCGTATGATATTTTTGTAAATAAATAAAATAAAATTTTGTAAATAAATAAATTCACAAGTAAATGATACAACGCGACGACACAACGCGTTTTTTATTTTTTTATTTGCTGAATATAAAAAGACTTAGCGAACTACTAAAAATGTATAATATTTCATATAATATATAGTTTTTTTATTAAAATTACATTTCTACTAAAATTACATGTAGTTTATATTTGGCAAAGATATGGCGCGCAGGTAACTCACAGTAGCGAGATGTAAGATTATCTAAGACGAGATCGATTAAGAATCGATAATACAAATTAGTCTAGACAACAAAATGATGCAAAAATGTAAAAAAATTTAATATAATATTATTTTAATTTTCTTTATTATATACTTGCAGCTTTTGCAGAAAATAAATTTATTATTAAACATTATCACCAAATTAAATATTTCATTATTTCAATAATCGAGACAATTATTTCCGCTGGAATAAGTATCGAACAAGTCAAGTAAAGTGAAAATAAATTTGTAAAAATTAATAAATTCTTGCTTATTTGTATAAAAATCTGTGCTACAAATGTAAGAGATGGAAAAATTAATGGTCCGGGATTCGAACTCGAGAGGGACAGAGATCCTTCGTTTATGAATCGCGACACTTACAATTAGTCTACATGATCACGACGCTCCACTTCGTTAATTAATTTTCAATTTCTTACTGCTTTCTATCTTATATGGCTATTTACTAAATTCATTTCTCTCGCTAACTTCTTAATTAATTTTTTATACAAGTATGCAAATACGCTCTTGCCTGTCTTCATCCGTCTCTTTATTTATGTACATTTGAAATTAAATCTTAAAAATTGTCAAGTTTTTAAATTTTGTTAATTTGTTGTCTTAGCTTTCCGATATTTAAAAACTTTTTTGGATAAAAAAAAGTTTTTTCCGTTTTTCAAGGTCCAAAATATGTCTGGTTACACATATGTATGATGGGTCATTTGCAGGTCAAGGCCAAGAATCCCGAATTGGAAAACTTATGGACAAATATGACAACAAAACTGTCCGAGATGATCGATAATTTAAATACCAACTCTGAAACAAAAGAACAGATAAGTCAATTGCGTGCCAAGTTTCAAGAAGGTGTTCAAACTCTCGTAACGGAGTCTGAGAACGCTGCTAAAACCATCAGTGAAAATTCTAACAAGGTGCAGGAGGGTATCGCTAAGCTTACCAAGCAAGCGATCGACATCGCCGTGCAGGCCTCGCAAAATTTGAACAACCAGTTGCAGCAGGCCACGACGCCACAACCATAAAATTAGGGAGGGATCATCTTCATATGATTCGCATGCAAAACAAATCGTCAACAAATCTCTCTACACAAATTTGTACGAAGAAATCGAATTTTGCGTCAGCCAGGATAATATCTCATACTATATCATAAGTAAATTTAATGATGATTAATGACGGATGATGAGTAATAAAAGTACTTGATTGTTTGTGTCCCCTACATATACGTATACATTCATTCTTTTAATTCCTTTATTATTAATACATTACATAGATATCGCATTATTCAGATAAATCTTGTTTTGTAATTGTACTTGTCTTGCATCATACTCTCACAATTTTAGTAATTAAAATCGTTTAAAATTGTTACATTCTCTTTTTTTCTTTTTTTTTATTTTTTTTTTATTA